CCCTAACCCTGCGGGAGAGGGACCTCCATTTATTCATCCTTATCCAAGAAGACTAGAATATCTATCCATTTCATTGATGTTATAGAAAGGTAGCAAATTCTCCTCAGTTATTTTAAGACCATCAGTATTGGTCCGGCCAGGGCTCGAACCCTCGACCTCCCACACAACACAATCCAGCGCTCTAACCAATTGTGCTAACCAGGAGGCGGTTAAAGGTGGTTATTAAGGGTGAAGTGAACATCATTACTTAACGAAGTACTCGTTGTACTCAACGAAGTGTGGTTGGATAATAATGAGCGATACTACACATAAAGACCTCTAATAAAATATATATCTTATAAATGAACTGCAGATTAATAAATCAATATGAGAGCGATCTTCACAGTGATGAACACTGCTAAAGCAATAGTGAAAACAAAGCCTAAAAATACCAGGCGTGTAGGGGGAGTTGAACCCATGACCTCTGTGATACTGGTGCAGTGCTCCACCAACTGAGCTTCATTCCACTTTTATCAATGAGCAATTTATTCCTCCTTTTAGCTGTCCACCATTACCAGACCATGTTCTGGACGAGTTGCACTTGGAGAGCTAAATTGTCAGAGAAAGTAATGCCACTTGTTTATTCTATTACTTAACAAAATATGGTGAGGAATTTATTAAATAGGTTATAACGACTAATACAATGTTCCTGTATTGAACTTGTGGTCAAACACATGGCTGCTAACATGATGTCATTCAGATTTTCTAGTTGTTTACAACCCTCTTCACCATTCAGTCACAGAAGTTAGCATGTTGCTTCAGTGCTCTCCAGAAATTTGTTAGTGTTCAGCCAAAAATAACACAATAATGCAAGCAATGCATCAGTGAACCCTTTACACCCTAACATTAATATTCATTTTCTCCTCACTCTTGTCTTGTCATTTTCTGTAGCAATGACAAGGAGAATTTGTTTGACAATCAGAAGCTTCATAAGCTTCCTTGACCTTTACTTATGATTCCAGGGTGAAAGCCAGTCACTACTTGAGAGTTGAAGTGTTGAAGTGAGCCTCATTTTGTTTGTATTTTTCCACCACTTGCAAGACATAAATAGAAGAAAGGGATGGCTGGCTTAAAGCCCTCTGCAATAACACATTTGTCAAACATTTTCCTTTATCACTTGATGGGATTTTTAATCAACAATAACATAAACAGTGACAATTCTATCATAAAATAATATTAACTCTGACTATTAATAATTGATTACTTGAACTCTTTCGATAATATGCTTTACATCTACCTACTGGTACATCTTGTGGCAAACTTTGTTGAAGGAGTGAAATTTTGCAAGTGCATTTGCTTATGTAAATAACAACCAGCTTAACTCAGATATTAAACAAACTTACTGTAGAATTTGAACGAGGTGCAGGGTTGTGGTCTAAGAATTTACTTCTGCCAATATACTTAAGTTCCCTTTCTGACTGGAAAAAATTGTTAAATTGAAACCAAATTCTCAAAACAAAACTTGCAAAAAATGTGAAAAAACTGATACATAATATAAACTGAGGTGATAACTTGTGATGAAGTATTGTGGTTTTTAATCATTTATCTCTACGAGGTGCACTTTTCGCCAGGTCATCGAGTACCTTTCTTGCAAAATCACATGTGGATCCAGTGTAAATGTTGAATTTCATGTCTGATCTACGACTGTCAACTTCACTGACAACATTCTCACAGCTGTTGGCATCAATATCTTGAAACTTTCTTTTTAGAGAAAGATTTTTCAAGGGAGTATTCTCTGCTGAAGTAATAACATCGTCATTCATATCCCTGCGTTTGATCTTGTAGTTGGAAATACTTCTCTTGGGGGAACTCAAATGCTCATCAGGTGAAACCTTGGTTTTCTTAGCTGAAGCAGATGTAACATGTTTGACCCTTCTATCTTCCACACTGTGATGAACCATGGGTTCTTCTTTCATTTGACTTCCTGCCACATCTTTAGTGCCTGATAACAAACCAACAAAACTGTTTTTGTTTCCACATGTCTCTTGGACCATACTTTCACCTTGAAAACCTTCTCCACTGGAAACATGACTGAAATGCTGGTTTCCTTCTGATTTGCTACCTGCCATTTGAGCTTCAACTGCAGAGGAAGCAACTAGATTTACTTCATCAGCAGGGATGATTATGTCTATACTAAAATTATCAGTATCCATCTCTGACAACCCTTCTGGTTCACTGGTGGCTTTACCACATTTAATAGTTGGAGAAGCAATAGCATTCATCTCATCTTCTGTGATCATTTGTTCCTTGTCATTAGTGTCTTCACAATTGAGAATACTTTTGTTTGACCTCTCTATCTCATCACTGTCTGATAAGCTTGATTTGTTGTACATTGATGAGGCTACTTTATTTTCATCTTCTGTGATCTCTTCTGCTATACTAAGCAATTGTTTATCTGACATCTTTCCTTCTTCCACACAGCTCTTACCCTCAGAAGTAACTGGTCTTATCTGAACTCCTGTGATCTCTTTGGACAGACTACAATCTTCAATGCCAGTGTCTAACTCGCAATTTCCCTCTATCACTAATTTTTTCTCTGGGCTAGGAGAAAACACTACCCCTTGAGGTTTCTTGCTTTTAGCAGCCTTTCTCCTGCAAAGCTGCACTGTTGCCTTTATTTTCTTCTTCTTCCTGGGTTGCTGTGCTGTAGAACTCATGAAGCATGCCACAGAATGAGGGATCCTGTACTTCTGTGGCAGAGAATAATCCATCAAAGATTGAAAGACATTCATGTTCACTCTAGCATTTATGGTTTCACCTGGTGACAGCCTGCATTTGTGCACAATTGGAATGATTCTCCTTGGCTTGACAATTTGAACAAACTTTTGCAGCTCTTCAAAAGAACTATGATCTGAATATGGAACTACAAATACGTTATCAAAATTGGCAAAGGGGTTTATCCCACCAACATAAAGGCATGTTGGTATAATAGCAATGGTTGGTTCAACAGAGTTCCAAGCCTGCACGTTCTTCCTAGTTATTTCAATGTTTTTCACCACCCTAATCCTAACTTTGTCAATCTCACTAGTAAATACGTTCGGCATTTCGATTAGTTCCAACGTTTCTCTTCTTAAAGGATCCACTCCAATCCACGTTCTGAAGGCTTTAGCAATAGTGTGAAGAAGCATCTCTCTGCCAAGGTTAGGAAGCCCCATGACAATCTTGTACTCTGAATGTCTTCGAATAATCTCGAGGATGTTGATGGTTGCTTCAGTTCGAGAAGGGAAAATACAGTTGGGATCACAGTAAGTATTATCAAGATAGAGCACATCAAACACTCTTCTCTTAAAAGCAGAATGTGTTGCTATGCGTTCACAATGACGAAAATCACCGGTATAGAGGATTTTACCAAAGTAACCTTCGAAAATAAACATAACAGAACCTGGGCAATGGTTAGCGTCGATCAAAGTTACGGACATTGTTTCTTGGCCTTGCTCGTCCAGGTTTATAACGAAGGGTTCGTCCAAGGGTAAACCAATCACGAGCTCGCTATTCACTCCAATTTTGGCTGTTACAAGCTTCTTTGTCAGCTCTGAACAGTAAATGGGGTGAGTGTTCCAAGACGAAGTAAGACCAACCGTATGATCTGCGTGCATGTGAGACAGAAAGAAAATGCTCGAGTGCGCACACTGCCTCAATCTCCAAAAGTCCACCGCAATAGGTGTATCAGGAATTACCGCTCCGTTCATTACTAATGGCTCACTTCTTTTAACTAGTGTAGCTTTTCAAAAGAAGATCGCCAATAATTTAAGAGACCGACTATCATGTGGCGACGCTATGTTACTACTCTTCTAGACCAGGTATCTTTGCGTTCGGATTTCGCGCGAGTCCAAGAAGACCCAGGATGCACTTAGGACCCTTGACGAGATAATGGAACACAGAAAATGGAGAGCTAAAGAAAGCAAATGACTATTTTTTTCAAGGAAGTCGATGCCTGAGCTCAAGGTAGCAAAGAACTAACGCTGGGTGGTATGTACGCAAAACAATAGGGCACGTCTGTTCGAAGGCCGATTAGCGCAAACCCGGGTTAAACTTTAATCCGGGTTTCGTTATCCTTTGTGGAAAAGCCTTTCGGGATAATTTTTCATATTCCTTTTTAAAGCATCCGATAATCAAGTTCTAAACAAAAGGAATTATGCTGAATTTCCTTTTAAAACTTTCAGATCTGAAATCAGATTTCACGCTAATCCTGAGTTATCAGCTTTAAACAGCCCGACTCAAGGCTCCTGAAAACACTTGTACAAAATATTTCATGAAAACATAACGATCAGGATGTAGGAACGTTGGAACTGAATGTTTCGTATAGATTTGTGTTCAGATTCTCTAGCTGTGGATGTGTGGAGATATCAACACCGCTAGTTGAGGAAAGTTCAATTTCATAAACAGCTGTTGACAACAGCGCATGAGGCAAGTCGAAAGACGCAAAATCCTGTTGAATATTTAAGGTACGAATCCATAGGTGCTAATATGCTAAGGGTGTATAAAGAGCTGGCTCCTCAAATACTTCAGTTCTCAAGAAATAAAATACTGAAGTTAAAATAGAACCATGCCTCTTTTAATGTGTTCTTTACATTACTCTTATATCTTCAATAAATAGCTAAATGGCCACCTCGCGCGAAATAAAGACTATGAACAAGCTGGAAGCTGTACAACAAAATATATTGTGGCCCGAAAAAGCTACATCTTTCAGGGAGAACACCTCTTAAGTTCAATATAGAGTATCTATCTTAGCCCATTTCCAGACTAGATGACCATAAATTATGCTTTGGGGCCCCAAATACTCAAAATGAGGCTTAACACACCTTAAATTCGTTACAGTATTTAACCCTCAAACTCCAGCTGTTCTCACAACCAACTTTCAAAAGTAGGCAACTTGAATTTGGAAATAGAGCAAATCACGCACTTGGAAAAAATTATACTTCGCGTCTGATAAATTAACTTATCTCTATAACTAAAATCCAAACTATACAAAACTTTAGATCAAAAATCTTAGCTCTATACAAAGTTAACCTCATCAAAAAGAAAACTGTTGATGTGATCAAAATATCTTGCAGCTGATGTAGGTAATAAAAAAATGTATTTCATTAATATTAGACTATCGATCAAAATTAATATCATTGTAAATTGGTAACACCTTACTAAATTTTTTTTAAAAATCAAATTAGCAAATATAATTTTCATGGATCTCCAACAAAAATGATCAGCTGCACATAGGTTTTTTACTGAAACCCAAAGACCTCACCATTATTTACAAATAATTAAAATAATTATCTCGTGAATTATTTCGTCAGTAGCCTACTTCAGTTTCTTCCAGGATGTATTCGAAAAGAAAGCGCGAATTCTACCTAAGGCTTGTAAATGCATCAGATACCATGCACACACTTTTAGGTAATATGCCATGATCCGTCACAAAGCCACTTACCAATGGACTTAGAAAATTTTATAAGCCTTAAATATGAGCCCCTCTCTCACAGGTAGTTCACCCTCTCCACCACTCCGCACCCGTCCTCCCTCTTAAGTGCGCACGCTTGTATGTGCTGTAACACAGCCCACGGCCCTAGAATTCGTGCCACGGTGCTCTCGGTTGGAAGAAGTAGAGAAACAAGAATTGANGCCCCCATGCTAATCTACCCCCCCTCCACTGATTTGCACGAACTACCCTGGAGTCTGCTCGTTAGATGTACCTTTGCCTGTCATAAGAAGCCAAAGGAGAATCTATTCCAATTGTTATTTGTGGTGTTTTAACCACAGTGGACCTGGAGGAGGACCTTTTACTTGATACTCCTCCACTTCCCGGAAGACTTGACCTTCTCGCCATTACTGAACCTAAATCAAAACAAGAGAAATAACCTTGTTGAAGGAATTCAGTTTTAGTTACTTCAGTTTCCTCCACAACACAATGGTCCCCAGATTCCCCTTGTCATATGGCACACATCGACGGTTTGATTTTAGTGGGAAAACACTGACCCCCCCTATTCTTGTGCCGAACTCAGTAATTCTCTGTTTAGGTATAAAATAATTATGGAATTTTTCATATTTAACTTATCGAGCCACCATACGACAACTTACGCTAATGGATCAAAGTCGGTATCTAAGCAACCACGTAACTGCTCACCTACCCCTCCCTCAACCTAACTTCAATCTTAACTTGTTATCAGTTGACCATTGCTGGGTGAGGGGAGGGGTAGGGAGGGGTAGGCGCGCAGCTGCTCAGCTGCTCAGATACTGACTTCATCCCCATCTTTTTCATGATAAACCAGAAGTGCAGTGTCACCCTTAAATTTCAAGAGAAGAGAGCAGAGCCCCCCCCGAGGACAGAGGTGTGTTATCCAAAGAAAGAGGCAGGTACTCCCCCCCTCCAGACCTGTCTTTTGTTAACGAGGACGCCGAACCTCCCATGTGAGAATTACGTTTTGTGAGTTTTTTGCTTATTTCTATCTGAGCAGCATCACTCACAGCTCTCCTGTCCTTCACTTCACAACTGACTGATGATGCCCCCCCGGAGCCACTCAATGTATCGCTTGTACTCTGGGGGAATTAAACCCCCCCTATCACATAGGTGGGCTTAACAAAAATACGCTGAAAACAACACAACATTGAAAAGAACTCTCTTTCCATGTAGCGTTTAATACGAAAAGTTGCAAAAACCAAAACCAACATAGTCACAGCGCCCAATCAGAGCAAAGGAATTATGACGAGGGGCGATGAGTAGCTTGAAGTAACTGAGCAAGCCAGCCGCTTGAAGTGCTGAATAACCCCTAAAAATCTCCTCAAAGACGTTCCCTTAGGTTTCTAAACCCACAGACGATCATTCAATGTTAAGAAGCCGCCTTCGGGAGTGTCACCAAGCCTTTGATCGCCAACTAAGCAATACGAAATCATTACTACCTTTGATTCGTCGCTGTCCTTTGCCAAAGACTCGAGTGACTGCGATTGACTGGGCGACTGAGACTTGCTTGTTTTACGCCCTAACACCCCCCCACACGCACAGCTTGGTTACATATGAACCTAGTCAGTATATGCCCCCCCTACCATCAAGGTTTCTGTTACTCAGTAGTACAGCATTGGACCGCGAAATCCGAAATCCGAAGGTCTGGGGGTTCGACTCCTCGTTGGACCCCCCCCAATTTTCTTATCAAGCCGATTTCCTTTTTCCCATGTTCGTGACCAAAATAATACTACTCAGGCTCAAATATTTCCAAGTGAAATCCGATCCCCCCCAGGGGTCGTTGCCGGCTAATTTACGCTCAAGACTAAGGACTAAAGGGGCTGCGCAAATTTCAACAACCCCGCCACAGAAAAACCACATAACCGCCTGAAATGGATGTGTCGCTGTTTTTTTTTGTTTTTTTTTAGTTCCCCCCCAAACATAAAAAACCAGCATTTCTTTGATAATCTTCTTAAAGCCCCCCCGTAATCCTTTGATATGCTAATCGTTTATTGAAAGCAATGATAAGGCTGATTATCAGAGCGCATATAATGATAACATAATTACAGGCCGGCCCCCCCATAGATTGCTGGGAGCCATTCAACACATCTTCACTACCTATCCCCCCCTGAGGACGAGTCTTTTTCTCTGTTGTTATCTAAGGGTAAAACCCCCCCGATTAAAAACAGTGTGACAAACTGAGGAAGAATTGATCCACCGGCAGAAGTAATCACTAGCAATTCAGCACAAAATAACGCTCGAAAAAAATAATTTATTCTTTCGCAAAGCTTGAACCTGTGACTTCAAGATACCGGTTGAGCCCAATTAACTATCGACATCTCACAACTCAGTGAATTAAATTTCACTGAAATTTGTGAATAGATTTATACAAATGGCTTCCACAAATTAAATTTAGAATTCATAAGGTTAAAACGAAGGAGCTTCCCGTTGATTTCTACCCCCCCAAATTCAAGAGATCGAAACTACGTTGACTGAATTTACTGTGCACTACTGCTTCAACTGTAGTTTACCCCTGAAGATGACTTAAGCATAACCCCCCCGTTCATTTATTAATTAGATAGATTCCTACCGTGACATTTTCAAAGCAAAGAACCTCAATAAACGTTTACCCCTTTTCTCTTGACTTTTGCCCCCCCTCTGTCCACTGAGGTTGAACTGTCTCCTGTTGGAACTCTCACCCCCCCGGCAGTCCTCGCTCTCCGTAGAGCTAAAATAGTGAACCATACCCCCCCGTGAAAAAAAAAAAACTGAAAAACTGGTGTTAGTAACTCAGCCCCCCCATAGAGATCCATACACAGCGGAACTCTGCTAAAAGGAATCCTTAACAACAACGAATGTAAAAGGAAATTAAATTAAAACCCACACCCAAAGCAGCAACGAGTTTGACACCACACAAAGTTCGTGCAGCTCTGCAGATGATACGTATTATCTTTTCTTTTTTTTCCCTATTGCTTCTATTGGTTACCCCCCCCTTAACGCCTCTTTATGTGTATCTGGCAGTGACGCCCTCTGTTCTCTACAAATATAACGAGAAAGTGTAATAACAGAACCCTGTTATAAGACAAGTAGCCTTATTTTAAAACATTTTACCAAATTTAACAACACTCATCCCCCCCTAAACCCTTACCCTTTTCTTGCTTAACTGGTAAAGTTTTCTTTTCAAATGGATACAAAGGCTTTCTGGTAGGAGCTGCAAATAAATCTTCAAATTAAGATCGTGACTAAATAGGGCTTGGTGTTCAGGAACAAGCCAAATAAACTAGTCAAATATTCGTTTCAGTTAACAGTCGTTTAAATTACCCCCCCCCGGGCCTCTGATTTACACTCAAGTTTACACGGTAACTACAATTCAATTAGGTTGAAATTTAGAAAAATAATTGTAATCTCAGAAAATTGTCCCCCCCATTAGGAAATACTTCACTCAACTCAGCACTTTAGACTTTGGAAATGTTATTGAAAAGTAAATGTTAATATACACGGCGATCACTATTATTTGTTTTTTAGCGATGAGTTATAGTTAAGAGGTTATAAAATGGGTCGAGAATATTAAGAGTTATCCTTTGTTATAGAATCATCGCCATCTTCTGAATCAGACAGAATGTAACATAATAATGTGATCAAATTTTATATCCTGACACCCCCCCTGTACTTATCTCAAAGTAGGTATAGGCGAGCGCACAAATTTATTTGGCGTTAGTTACTGAGTTGGTATAACACAGATCAGTTTTCAATACCTAAAGGCAAGTTTATCAAATACGGTGCTGTTGCGCATACTTTATGCGTTTGAATTTTAAATTCAATTTATAATTTAGCTAGCTATATAAACAGCACCTTTAGCTTTTGCTTTACTGGTAGAAGCTTTAGCTGCAGCTGAAGCCCCCCCCTTTGTGGATGTAGGTGCATTTCTTGGCCTTGAGCAGCCCTTCCCCCCCCTCATAGGGTCTGTCAAAAAACGTCCACGTGCAGTGTGAGTCCCCCCCGCAATCCGTTACCTCAGGGAGGCAAAGTAGCAGCTGATGCACCCCCCCATGATGCAGTTTTCATTTATCAAGACAATCATCTACAATCGGTTTCAATCTTTACCATCCTAGGTCATTGTTACTTCTTCTCAATTTATCCTTACCTCAATTGTGTTTTTCTATCTCACCAGACTAATAATTTGTAACCCCCCCCAAGGTGAAGACAGTTTCGCAAGGCTTAAAATAGGGATAAAAATATCGGGACAAAATTGCTTGAACCTTCTTGTTCCCCAGGAGAGAATTTGGTCCGACGATTACACTCCATTAATACCCTTCCTATCCAATCTAACCCCCCCCATATGTTTTGCCGTGAAAACGTACGATTTCAGAAAACAAAACCCCCCCGTCTGTTTAATAATGAGGCAAGAGACTTTCGTTGACTTTTGTGAAGTACTATACAGTTTTGGAATGGGACAGGCATCAAATGTAACCCCCCCCCCCTAACACTTAGAGAAAAAGCAGATAACAGAGAAGAATAGCAGCCCCCCCAGACTGCAAAACAGAGCCGCTTGTGTACATGGCGCAGGTGCAAAGAAATCATTAATCAGTGAGAGGTGACAATAAAGTAATTAACACTTTGACCCCTAACTAACTACTTTCACCTCAGAGCATCACAATAGAATCAATCATTAAGGTCATAAGAAAAAAGTAAATGACCGCCAACTAGGATTGTCCCCCCCCTTCTCCTTGTTACCACCATAGAGAGTATGCATAATGCTATTACAGATGTTTATAAAATAAATTACATATTTACTTGATTTGGTTGTATTCCCCCCCCATCTAGGCAACCACATTTTGTTACATGTTAGTTAAAAATTATCTCATGGAAAACATTAATGCCCAAGTGCAGGAATTGTTAATCAAGCCCCCCCCACAGGAAAATCAGCACTAAGTGGTTATTACCTGTATTGGAACCCCCCCGCAGTCTTCATAAAGTTAATGTGTTAAGTAAACGTTTCTTCATTAAAATTTCTATTTATACCACATAAATTTTACCATAGAAGACCACTCCCCCCCAGTAAATGTATCAGGCTGAGTGACTACACATTGGCCAGTTACCCCCCCGGTGAGCAATATTTGAATTCATTTCCAAAATAATCTAAAACCCCCCCCGTTTTGCCTAAATATCATTGTCCAACTGGATGCAAACCCAAAACCAACTGCAAATTTAATTTAGTTCAAGTTGATGATGTTACTTGGCAACCATAGCAAGTTTGTCGAGCTGATGTTTAAAGTGTTTGCCCTTCATCCCCCCCCATGATGAAGGGCTAAGGCTTGGAAACTCAGCTGATAAAACCAAATTATCTTAATACCCCCCACTGGCATAGGACCACAGTTTCTTTAGACACTTAACTGCAACTTTGTCATGCTTACTGAATTATCACTTTGTCGCCCATTACCATTGTCATGATTAACTGCCCCAATTGTGGGGCACAATTGTCCCCCCCCCTATACTTAGCTCTCAAACAGATCAGGAGTATCTTACTGTATACTTCTCTTCCTGTCCTTTTCTTGGTTGGGACACTTTCACACCTACCCCCCCCCCACCATGCGCTGACCTAAAAAGACAACAGACTTATGGATTTAAAATCTCAAAAAGAGGAGGGGAGTTCTTTTTTCAAATCAATTTCTTTTACTTCCCAGTGTTTTTCAACCATTCCTGTGCCACTTCTGTACCCTCTCCCCCCCTAATTAGGCTGTCTATAGATGCCTTTTTGCCTTTTCACTAACCCCCCCAGGTCACATCTGAAGCTATATACATTAACCTTTTTGCAGTGCCCCCCCAATATGTGGACTTACTGTGATTGAGTATTCTGTATTGGGTTTAAGAGATTTGGCAGTGCAGCTCTTTTCGACTCCATTGTAAATTGCCTCCCCCCCCAAGATAATGATTAATACAAGGAATAATCATTCATCGTGACTTTATTTGCTGAGAGGGCACTGATTCACTAAAAGCACATTAAAAACAAAAAAAATCACCTTCAAGCGATAAATATATTTATTTAAACCAAACAAACATGACTAATTTGCACAATATCTATTACTTTTGGAGGAGCTTTTAAGTCCCCCCCCTTATGAAGTTTTCATCATTGATTGAGTAAATTAAAATGAGGCCCCCCCTAAACCGACATTGACAAAAATTCCCAGACTAGTTCCAACTGCCCCCCCAAAGATGTTTATTATCCAACTACACTCCATAGAGTACATGCCCCCCCCACCATAGACGAGTATAAATATCACGTGGTATTTGTACTCTAGAGTACCGGTTAAACAGGTATTCTCGCATCGTGCAAGTGAAGAGTTGACCCCCCCTAACGAACAAAAAAATGGCAGACAATTTGAATCATATTTCCGATTACGAAGAGTCAGAATGGCTGGCAAATATACATCCAAGTTTATTAGATGAATCGAATGAAGAAAAACAACTGGACGACCTGAAAATTTCTTCATTTATTGAAGAAAATAGAAACAGCAACAAGACAACACGCCAATTCTGTCCCCCCCTGCATACTTCTGTCACACACCGTATATAAATATCTGCAAAACCCCCCCACATTGAAATAACAGTTTGGCGTGTTAGATAATAAATAACTCCCCCCCCGTTTTGTTGTGTATAAGTATTGCTGGGTATTTTTACTCGTCCCCCCCATTTTGACTTGCCCTACGGCTCATCAAAATACAGTACAACTCCCCCCCATACTCAGCAATACCACACAACAAAACGTCTAATAAGATATATTTATTCCCACATCATACATACCACATCATCTACTCTGACTTCATAGCTGTTAATCCTACCAAGTGGCCTAGGAGGATTCTCCCAAGATATCATCCCCCCCCGACGACCCAACACCTGTACCATGGGCTTGGGTGGGGCATGCGACGCTGCAAGAGGTCTGGTATTAATGGCATAGAGCTCTATTCTCTATGATGCTTTGGGATCACAGAAAATTATTGAATTATACATGACAACGGAACCCCCCCGAAGAGTGACAGCAATACAAGCTATCAAATAGATAACAAATCCCCCCCTTTAAGAAATCTTGTTGACACAAGGGCAAAAGTAAGGGATTTAAGTACTCTGCAGCCAAGGTTTTTTATTATTATTTTTTACCAGATTACCCCCCCTGAACAATTGTCAATTCCAATTAGGTAATATCATTAAATAAGATGTCATTGTTCAAATATGAATTTTTTTTTACTCAACCTAGGTCATCAGTGGCTGTTGTTAGAATGGCTGCTTCTCCTCGTCCCTTGCTTGTCAGCCCCCCCACCTACAAGACAAATAAAGCAAAAAACCTAAGGTTGGTTGCCCCCCCCACCTGTCACATTGTGTGAGAGCTTAAACCTTAAGGGATCTTTATTTACCTGGAATGTAAATTCAGTGTCAGGAGGCAAGCTGGATAAAATGAAGTAATTCTCATGAACTTCAAGACTGGATGTCTTACCTGAACAGTACAAAAAGACATGATTGTTACTTTGAATGTCTTGTGGCCTACACTATGTCAAAATGACTGATTATTGTTCAAAGCTCTTCTAACACATGCATTGTTGTTATAGAAAATATTGCTGTTCATCCTGGTTTTATATAAGATAAATTACCCCCCCATCATGTCTTACAATGTAAAAGTCAGGCTAATCAACTGACTGTATTGATCACCAGGTTTTGACTGCTTAATTCTTTGTCGTTTTTAAGTATTTCACACAAAACAGCCATGAATGGAAGAACTGAAACTCAAAATTATCCCCCCCTATATATAATATATATAAAATAAGAAGTTGACCACAAAAAACCCCCCCTTTCATTTTCTCAATCCAAATGGTACAGAGACCCACCTTCAAATCCTAGCTCCTTTTCTGTGATTTTTATTGCAACAACAACAACAATGCCCCCCCTAACATTGTTCAATTTTGGAAAGATATACCTCTCACAACAATTTGATAACCCTTCAGTACTCCATTGGAAGTTTCTGGTGGTTCCCACATGATCTTTATCTGTGATGTGGATTTGTTTAATACTCTGAGGGACTGAGGTGCACTTGGAACTGTGTGTCACACCAGATATCATTAGAAATGACATTGTTATCATCCACATTCTAATTGTTTTAGTGAAAACAGGCATCACAACAGAGGTTTTGAATATGCAAGTACAATTCCATGCGTTTATAAATCAACTTCCCCCCCTAGTAAGATAACAGAGAATCTGAGGGAAAGGGAGCACTGATCCCCCCCAATATACCCACTAAATCTTGTGGGGTTTAAGGATTAATTGATGTTGACTGACAGAAAATTTCTCAATTTTCAATTATCTACTTTCAATGCTACTGCCACTCAGGTAAATAAAAGATATAACATCAACCCTGGCCTTTTCCAGTGAAGTTCCCAATTGTCCTGTGCACTTAGATCTAAATTCAATTCAAGCTCTAAGTTACATAATCTACATGGCAAGAGACCCATCACTGTGGACAGTCCACTTTTTCACTTTTGGCAAAATGGGCTTTAATGATCACACATTCCAAGTATCAACTAAATGTCTTGACTCTTTAACTCCTAAGATTTCACCCCCCCTTCTCCTTGCTGTCTGCTTTACCATTCTTATGATGTTAGTTTAGAGAATTTGGTATTGGATCAATAAATAATCCCCTCATTGATTATATCCCCCCCTATTCTCATCACTTGTCTGCTTGATATTGTACGGATATGGTATGGAGAAATTCTGTCTTGGTCACTCATGGGAGTTGAATGGTTAACTGCCCCCCCTTCTTTGGATATATCAACAAAAGTTGAAATGGTAAATTGGCCCCCCCCATGAAAGAAATTCAAAACTATCAGCCTTTATTCATTTGCTTGAATTT